GTTTGACCTTGTGAATGGTGAACGAGAACTTTATTGTTGGACGGAGTGAGTATCATTTTATCAAATGACTAATGAAAATAGGAAAAGAAAGTGAATAAAGTTTGACCATGTGAATAATAAACATGCAATTTAATGAAAAAAGACTAAAGTAGGAGTAAGATATTGAAAATATACAAAAATAAAAGTTAAATATTTTTATTCCTGAAATAGGGGTTAAAATACATTTAAAGCATGCGCAGCGGCATTCCATCCACTTGCCATGCCATGACACGTAGGACAAAAACTCATATGCCTAGCGTGGGATTACAATTCTTCCACGGTATATGAGGCTTCCGCAAGGTTACCTTTTACTTTTTATTTTTGTAAAAAAAAATGTTTTGTTGTGAGTAGAACTACTTTTCACTCACATTATTCAATCGTTGATTACAATTTTTTTCTTTTTACCTCTCGATAACTTTTGTTTATTTGTATGTTTTTATTAATTTTTTGATAGAATAAAATATTTTTGAGAACTCGTGATATAATTTTATAATTTGTAAGTTTTATTTTTTTTTCTTATACAAATTTTTAAATAAAACAATTTTAAAAAACAAGGAATCTTACATTGTAATGTACCAGTATATAATTTGAGACGGAAGGGTAAATAAAATACGGACTAGATAACAAAACCATTTTTAATGATTAAAACAATATAAAAAATGTGCTTCATGTTTTTTTGCTAAATTACATAAATAAATAATTTTTAATAATTCAAATATGGCAAGATGAAAAAAGTAAAAAAATGGTGACTTGCCACTACAGGACATGACACTCCGCACATTCACAACTCGTTGACTGGACTATTTTTCATTGGTTGAAATAATCCACATCAAAGTGTGATATTACATTTTTGTCTCGCCATTGTTAATGCTCTTATATTACTAATTATGCCCATGTACATTACGTTAAATAGACATGTACAGTGTCACACTACCACCGTGCGAACTTCTATTTAGAGAATAAAAACATAAAACTTTTATTTTAATATTTTTCTATATTTTAATTCTACGTAAAGTAATTTATTATTTAATTTGGGACGAAAGGAGTATCATATCATATATATATATATATATATATATATATATATTCTTTATATATAATATTTGAGAGTTGAACTCTCAGAATTGCGACATTTGGCGTGATGACTAGGATGTTTTTTGACACCTAATCAGCCATGTCATCAAGAGAATTGAATCGAACTTTCCTTCGACTAATTTATGATATAATAAAAGAAATTATGTAACATAATAAAATTAGTGAAACATAAGTATAGTATTGCATAAAATAAAAATTATTAATGGAAAAAAGAAAAGTTTCGTTTTTTACTAACAAAATTTTCAGTAAAATTTTTACCATAATATTTTGCTCGGGCTCCAATTAAGCTTAAAAATTAGTCAGTTGAATAAAAAGGATATTAAATCATTTTTATAGAAAAATAAAAATAAATTAAAACAAATTAAAAATGAGAACCTTTAACATTTAGTAATAAAATTTTGATCTAATTATTATTATAATAACTTTATTTAATATAAAAAAATATCATATTTCTTCAAAAATTATATTGACTACTGAACTTAATGCGAATAAAATTTTCTTTTCATTTACAACGTAACTTATAATGGTAGATAAGATACACACTTTACCAATATATTAATTTCAAATACATTTAATATAATATTTAAAAACTAGATCAAAATATTCATTGTCGAGTTTGACAATATTTTTTAGAAAGAAGAAAAAGTTGAACACAAGTAGATGATTAGTTAATTTAAAATATATTTTTTCAGTATAAATTTTAACTTAGTGCAGATTTTAAAAAGTAATTTTTTTAAGGAAAAAAGTACAATTTTAATAATAATTAGTTTATATTTAATATTATTCTCATACAATTAAAATAGCCAAATATATAAATATAATGAACATAAAAAAATTAGGAAAAATATGCAATTTTTATCTTTTCCTAAATGTATAAAAATGAGACTCGGGTAATTCAGAACTGACATGTGGCTTACTCATGAGCCTCTTTTTAACACCTAATATGTAACATAGATTTTGATGTGGAAAATATGAAATTAAAAGTTTGATAAATATTTCTGTATCTTTACATATCAAATTTGAGAGTTAATCTCCTAGAATTGCGAGAAGTAACGAATCTACATGGCAACATTTTAACAGATCACCGGCCACCTATTAACGATTGAACGACGTGGCAATTTTAATCAAAATATGAGTAGATCCAATGTAAGTTGTATATATGTACAGTGTTGCTATAATTTTTTGGAAAAAATTACTCTGTACCAGAATAAGAATAAACATGGAGAAAATATTGTAATAAAAATGCATTTTTTTTCTCCAAAATAGGAGTCACCAAATATTAAGAGATTTCTTAGTTTCAAAAAGAAGATATTTGTAATGCATTTCTACCGAAAGACAAAGTTTGTTCTGTATATTGGTGTTAAAGTATACAAAATTGACAAGAAAAATCAATTGAGAAGATCAAATCCAAACACAAAGAGAGTATTGTTAAAGAAATTAGAACAATACATGAAGTTTTATGCAATTGAGTCAGAACTAAAATTCTTTTTTAAAAAAATCAACTTCTAAAATAATAAAATAATAGTATAAATTTTTAAAATCAACTTCTAAAATAATAGTTACATTTTTCACATAAAATTTTAAAAAATTATCACATAAAAACAATCACATATATTTTACATACCAAAATTTTTTCACTTGAAATGAATTTAGTTTCAAAGAGCAAAACAAATATAGTTACAAGGGTTTTCACAAAGAAAAATTACAAAAACATTTAAAAATAATCATGGGTATTTCACTTTTGACTTCATTGAAGTCACAACAAGCACTTTTTTAAAAAAAAAACACAAAAAAATATTTGAATGGGATATATAAAACAAAACAATATTTCAAAAAAAAAAGGAATCCCGTATTTTTCATACACGAATTCTATTAAAATTTTACATAGATGTAAAGTGGGGTATCGGAGGCGAGGTAATCCTCATTTGAAATTTACTAGCTTAAACATGAGTGGCTAATAGAAGGACACAACATATTAAGATGCCCTAAATGTACAATTGGGATAAAATTATAATTATTATAACGGAGACCTAGATTAGCAAAAGGCTAATCCGAAAGGGTCATTTTGAAAAATTACTCTTCATTTAAATATTGAAAATACCTAAATTTCCTCCATTGAACATTCATTTAAGAAACATATACGGAAGACACTGAGTGAATAAATCTCAACTATAAAGTACTCCATAGATAATTAATGCTTAAAAACACTGATTTTGGAAAATACATTATTCGAAGAGACTATTTCGAGATTACATAAATAAATTTATAATATATAATTAGGTGACTAAAAGACTTAAGACTATATTTTTTAAGGAATAATTATATGTATCATGATTATGTACTTTATTTTTAGACAAATGGATAATATGTCTACTATGAGTTTGACTCAATGCATATCCTACATAGAAGTTTTGTTTATGGCAAGATGACTAATTGTGATATAAAATAAAAGTATTTCCATGCAATTTGACTTTTTTAAATATTGAATTTTTAAAATAAACAAATTAGAAAAAAGATTTAATAGGACTTTTATACTTTATCTTGGTAACTTGGTTTACTATTTTTAATTAAAATAATCTTATATTGTAACTTACAATTTACTCAGTACATACTTATATTGTGTTACAATTCAAAATGTTTATAAATAAAATTAAGAAATTTTGAATGAGAGAGAACTTACTTCTTACGTTTTGATTTACGCAACCGTACATGGAAATTTCATAAGATGATATTTTATGAGACATCACAGATTTATGCAAAGAAGATTGTGACAAAGAAGATCAAGGTGTGGAGGGGAGCGTAAGAAAATTTGTGACAATGAAAATTTAGGATAATCAAAAAACTAGGAAAAATTGTGCAGAAAATCCAAAGTGCACTAGCTAATAAGTTCGAGACTTAGTTACAGGTTACAACCAAATCAAAGAAAATACAATTTCCAATTTGTAACTATTTGTATTTTGATAGAACATTTTATATCTTGACCAGAATACTATCCCGACAAAATTATTAGAGCACTAAAATTTTAATGTTTTTTAAAATAAATGTGGGGGAGAAGAATAATTGATTCTTAATATTTTAAAATTAAAATATTAATCATAGAGATTTACGATCACTAATTTAAGATTTTGTTTTTTAATAATATGCAAGAATGAATAATAACTTTTTATAATCATTGTGGGGGTGGGGGGGGGGGGTAGATAAGGATTATGGATGAGAAGAATCCTATTTTTTAATTACTACCTCCGTCCCTGAGTATTTGTTAAGTTTTGACTTTTTCGACTAATTGTTTTCAATATTTGACTTAGAATTAAATAAAATATATATTATATATTAAGTACTTAAAAAATATTTTGAAAATGGATGATATAATAAATCTAATAAAACTAATTTTATATCAATATCCAATATCGTTTTTATTTAATTTGAGGTGAAAATTTACCAATTTTGACAAAAAAGTCAAAAGTTGACAAATACACATGGACAGAGGAAGTATATAATTATAAGGTCAGTAATTTAGGTTTTTTTAAATTAATATGAGAAAAAAAATTAAAAATCATTGGATCACTAATACTTTTGTATTAATATATTTTCAAATTTATACTGCGATAAAAATTATAAATTTGTAAAAATACATCAAACATAGATCATTTATATTTTACCTTTAAATAATATGCCAAATTAAAATCAAGATCCACATTATAGAATCTAAAAAAATTCCATCCGAACCCGTGCATGGCACGGGTAAAAATACTAGTATATATATAAAGTTGGGTTTATCAGCTGTGGGGATGCCACGTGGATGCTGACCTGGCGCGCTACTCTGGCATGATTAAACACCCTAAAATTCTACAGCCCTTCATTTACCACTTGCGCTCCTTCATTTTTCGCCAAAGTGAAAAGCCTCTTCTGTTTATTGTCCCTCCAGGTCCATTCTGCTTCCAGCCACCTGCGACCATCATCCGCATCTCGCGAGCCGGCAACACCTAATTCGCCGCCGTTCGCCCGTCATCTTGCACTGAACGCGATTAGCGTGCGTTTGCTCGACTTCATCTCTCTGCAAATCCACCGCTGCCCTAAGATATTATCTTCCTCTTTCAATAGTTTCAAGTTATGGCTGTGATTTTGAGACCTATTTTTGCCTAATGGTATGAATTGCAAAATACATTCCATTCAAGAATCAAAATTATCTCCTATCTTTGTGTAATTGCCTGAATTGTGTAGCCCCTATTTTGTCTAATTAAAGCTAAATTTATTCGGCCAAGTTCGCACAGAATCAAATTGTTAGGGTACCAACTGGGCATTTCAGAATCATTGAAGACTAAATGTTATGTCCTGCTAAAGGTATGAGTTTTGCTTATTTTATCTCGAATTTTATCTCAAAGTCAATAGTGACTCCGAGGAATGAAACGGTCAATTGTTGCATTCTCTTTTGTAAAGCTCTTCTATTTCTCTTTTCTGTGACATGTGATATTTTAAAAACTGGTTCATTTCCAAAATATATAGTTGTTTCTCTCTACTTCACTCAACGATATTTAACATTATTTGTGTTCTTTGACAATTCTTCAATATCCATGTTCGTAGAAATGAATGTATTGGTGGGTTTAGCTTCTTTTATATCCCTCAGTTTAAAAAAATACTCCGTCCTATAATGATTTTCTCACATTGACTTAAACGTATTTTTAAGTGATTGATTTTTTTACTTTGAGTTCCAATTTTGCCCCTCCTTCCCACAAGCTCAATCCCAAGATATAGAGTAATTTAAAAGACTATCCATTTTTTTTCGAGTTTGATTGGAATAGTGACCGCGGCTCTGCTTGCTCGGCGGTGATCTATTCCCCGAGACAGCAATGTTCTATTTTCTTGGCTTGGCGGTGGCCAATTTTAGAGAGATCTATTTCCCTTGGCTAGGCGGCAGCCATTGTTACATATAAATTTGACAAATAAAAATTTTGTTGTTATAGATTGTCGCAACCCCAATGTCTCCAGTAAAAACATATTCACATTTCACTCACCAGGCTGTTCTCAAACATAGTTTAGTGGAACTTTTGCCAGATGACATTCATATTGGGTGCAATGGAAGAGTTCACAGTAAGTCTTTACTTTTTTCCCCTTCCTTGATTGCTTGCTTCTATGCATTTGACTTGTCTGTCTTAGCAAGTGATGATACCCTTGCTTCATGGTAGTTGCGTTCACGGAGAAACTTTGGTGGAGGCCAAGGGGTTTGCTGGTTGATCAGTTTGATTCTAAAGAGGATCTTATAAATGCTGTAATGACATCTTCTCTTATTCCCGGGTACATTGTTGGTTCCCCTTGTCACTACCTCAGCTATTGTGTTTCTATATTTCGTGAGTGACTTCTTAACTATAAAAAAGTCATTTAGTGCAGATATCTTGCTCCAAGACCTGCCACAATGTTCCGAAATCGACTTTGCTTCGATGGGGGTTTGACATTATTCATGCCACCAACTTCTGCCTCTTAAACAGTATATTCTACTTTCTTCCCATCTTGGATTATCTATTTTCTTCCCTCTATAATTTGCAATTTCATAAGTAGGTAACAAAAAATCTAAGCTTGTCAAGTGAAAGTAAAACTTGCCTGAAATGACTGAATTGACTTAATGGACTGAATTTGCTTAAAATACAGTTAAAAAATTGAATTGGTAGAATTTGCTAGACAATCCTTCAAATATACAATTTAAAACATTTCCTGATACATGAAAGTAAAATAATACTCCCACCATTCTTTATTAAGTGTGTGTTTCACTTTCTATGGCACCTATGGTTAATTAAGTTATAGTGTATAGTAGAAATTCTGGCTGGTAATGCTCGAAAGAACTGTAATACCAAATATGCAATTTGTATCATATTTCTTCTTCATTTCTTTTGTTATTAAGGTCTGGAAAAGTTTCTGAAGCAATAAAGAACTCTTTTAAAGCTTTAAATATAAACGAAACTCATGTCCAATAAAAAACTATATTAAAAGGTAAGAAAATAAAATACAAAACAATGGTAATCATTTTCTAATTAAACCAAAGCAAAAGTTATAAGAGAACCGATAAATAAATGTACTTTTGTTTGTCTTATAATAGCTGGAAGTCTTAAACCATCTCTGTCTTTCTTGCCCCCAAAGAGTGAAAAGAATGAAGAAAAATAAACTGTGATCTACTGCAGCAAAACTTACAGGTAAACCTATAGAGAAAAGTATGCTATATATAAAACCTAAGAGAAATTCTAAGATAATTAAGAATTCTATGGAGTATTTAAACAAATTTACTGAATAGATGAAAAATTTTGAATCTCCCATGTTGAGGAGACGAAGAGATGGAGGCTCCCAAAATCCTCTACACGCACAAAAATGAAAGTGACCATATATTGAGAATGAAAGGGAAAAAATAGCTTCCCTGACCAAAAATATAGTAATGGGTGAAGTCCTGGTTCAAGCATACATAATCTGTTGTAAAAAGGTAAAACATTTTCCATTTTTTGAAAAAGGAAGATAATAATAACAATGATGATGATTATGATGGCAAATGTAGATATACTGGTATGGGATTCCTAGAAGCAATACATGAAGGTTGATTTTCAGGCAAATCCCATAGTTTTACCTGCATTTGGTTGGTCTCCGCCAGTCTTAAAAGAGACAGTTTGAGATGATGAGAATTTCAAAAGAAAATGAGAGAGATGAATGGCGTTTTATCTAGAGAACCTGTCGCAAGAAGCTACCAAGATTGACATAAATAAATTAGTTCATTAGGGAAGATGACGGATGCACTATGACGAAGGAATGGAAAAAAGACAAGTAGACATCTAAAAAAGGGAAGCTATATATATACTAAAGAATGTCTCTTATTCTTTAGTATAAAACCATAATAATTTGATAATACTTCATATAAGGTCAAGAATTACATACACTTTCTTCGTAGCAAGCAAAGGTAGCACGTAGCATTTTGTATTTTATGCTTCAGAAGTCCTTTGATTCAGATGATTTCTTGGTTAATTTAAGCATATGGATTCTGTTTTTTCTTTTGCTTGGTAAATTTTGTTTTTTTGCTTTAGATGATTCACAGTTCTTGCTTGGTTAATTTAAGCATAAGAATTTTGTTTTGAGAAGAAAGATATAACCTTCTTTATATCACGTAAATAAAACATCATTCATATTCTTTTTCCTCTTCTCTATTTTCAATTTCTTAAATTTATATTTTTAACTTTCTTTAGTAATTGTGTTATAGATTTCATTCTTTTTCATTGTTTAAGAAAAGAAACATTGTAGTGTTCATTAATTTTGGACGGTGTATAAATAATTATTGGGTAATAAATTATTAATTTTGTTGATATGCGTAATGGCATTGACACTTAACGTTTATTATAGAATTCCATAATCATGATCGATCCAGAGACAAGATCTACACACTATTTTCCAGAACAAAAAACAGATTTTGAGTATTATTGACTCCAAGTTTGAAGATGTATGTAGATGAGCCGTAATAGTGATATGGCTTTAAAGGTATTTCTATGTGCATTTTTTAAGTTTTTCCAATTTTGCTGTGTTATGAGGGTTGAAAAACACTAACAAGGTGCAACTTTCTTTTGTTGTGCGTTGATATATGATATAGACAATAATGATGGATGGTTCTACAACACACATGGGCACTACAAGAGGTTAATTAAGGCAAGCGAGGGAAAATTCTGGTGTAATAAATGTAAGATGATCAGCGGTGCAGTACTGAGGTAAGTTTCATCGTAAGTAGTGAGGGCGTGTTGTTTTATTTTGAGTAATACTGCAATTTTCTGTGAGTAGTGTATTTGTGGCTAAATGTGTAACTGCGTTATTCGAATCTTTTGCATTGTATTAATATTGAAGTGTTTATGTGTGATGTTTTCATGTTGTTTTGAGATGATTGGGCTGTTGGGGGGTTTTATCATTGTTTAATGAGGGGTGTCATCCCCTTTATTGGGTATTTGGGATGTTTTGTAGTTTTTAGTATTCTGTTTGAATATGCAATTACTTTTTAAAGACCTGATTGTGTACTAAACAAAATTAACAAATGCTATGAATTAAGCAAAGAATTGAAGAACACAGATTGCCTCTAGCTGAGTTTCAAAAATACTTTTCCACCCTGATATCCAGCAGTTTGAACTGGAAGGTGTCCTTGAATCTATTGAGAATACTATAGCTGCTTCCAATCCACACCATATTATATGACAACCCACCAAGGAACATTCTCCTAAGGCGGAAGGAACCATAGTCAACTAAATCGTGGTACGTTCCGATATGAGTACGTGGTTCGGGTACAAAATTCGCTAGAGGTGACGAATTCGGTACGAAGGGGGTAGGTTCATTTCGGAACGTCTACATTTGGGGGACATAGTTTAATTGCTTATAATTTGCCACATGAAGCTTACAAATAATGTGTATTTGTTTTGGTAGATGTTGTTTTGTTATATTATTAATTGTGATTTATCACTTATATTTCTAAATTTTGGTGGCAATTTCTTCACCCTTTCATTCCGTTCAATGAGATTATTCATTTATATGGTTTATGAAACATTTTTTAATGTGAAAATATCATCAAAATGTTTATAACATCCTCATCTTTCAGGGGATAAGAGTGAGGATGTGGATTTAAGTAATCAAGTTGGTAAAGTTCTTGACTACTAGCCTGTGAAGACGCTAACTGAAACTTTGGAATATAATGGCTGAAAGACTGTACTAAGTGGGCAAGGGGTCACAGAAGGTTTGCAACCTCTATTGTTTTCTTTATAATATCATGCAATCATTTTTTCCCAAGAATATTTTATTTGTGTTTTGTTACCACCATTTTTATTTTCTTTTTTGGAATGAGAAGAAATGGGGAGCAAACATCACATGATAAGACCATTTCTAGGAAGTTATATTCATATATAAATTTCAAAAGGGGGAACATAATTATCAAAATAGAAAAGAGGACAAACTGTTATCTTTTTTAATATGTTTTTTTTTCAATATTTGCCCAATAGTATATACCCTGCAGCAGTCAAAAATCACATAGTAACAGTAATAGTCACATAGTCTCTCTATTTAAAAAAGAGTTTTATTAATAAGTGTACACTATAACACTCATAGTCTTTGCCTTCATATGTCTACTGTTATGAGTCTCAGTGTGTTAACTGTGTTTGCCTTGGTGTAGGCCTTTCCATATGGGCTCTCATTTTCCAGGAAAAGAAGACAACCTCAGCATTGACCCAACACCGTCTTCTATGAAACAACTCACGATCATTATCCCTCCTTTTTAGTTTTGTTGAAATCTATTTTGCACAGGCTGAAGCTGGTTTGCCTTTGTTTTGCTCACTATTAGGATTGTAGAATTCATAATAATAATCCTGACTAGAATATTGAATACATCTTCAATAATAAGATTGTCTATTCAAACACACACTCACACACATTATTAAGGACTATAAAACAGAGTTTTATTATGAACTATAAAAAAAGAGTTTTTAAAAATAAAGTTTTATTAAGAAGCTTTGTTTTGGAAAGTGATGTGGTGGTAAGGCTTTTTATAATTCCAAACTCATTACTTTGCAGTGATATTGTTAGAATTGACTACACAACAAATAAATAACGTAACAAATGTAATACTAAGCTAAATTTGAAATGAAAATTAGCAAAATTATTTAGGTTTGCTTGGCTATTGGATGACAGTTTTTCCTTTATTCATTATTTTGGATTGAGATAATTGGCGCTGGCGTGTTGTAGTCATTGGAACATGAGGGCTGGAGTTTGGTTATAATGCTGGATTTTTATTCTTTTCTTTTTTCCTCTTTTAGTTCAAAAGGACTTCGGTTCAATCTCTCTTGCTATTTCTTTTTCCTTCATATAGACTTTTACATAGATCCTACACTCTTCTACCTTTTTTTTAATAAAATTGTTTTTAAAAAAATTAAACTACAATACTACTGAATATCTTAAATCTGGAGTTTTTTAAAAACATGAGAACTAACATACTTATAAAAATGATTATTTCTACTCGAACAACACATTACGCCTTTGAGTATTCATCTATTTTGTCCATCAAATATTCAAATGTACATTTCAAAAAACGAAAACAACGCTCAGCATAAGTCACAAGGCCGTGCGAAGCACGGGGTAGAAAACTAGTTTAGATAAAAATTTAGCTATATTTAATTTAATGATACACTTCCTCATTATTAAATCAAGTAATCAACTAAAGAGGGTTTTGGAGTCGGGCAAGAAACCGGACCGCCGATTCACCTGTGCCGTCAGCAGCCGTACGGTGGCAGTAAACGGTGGAACAGCCGGTTCCAAAACCTAAACGGGACAGGGACCCCGGTGTATGTTTATACCAACTCGCACAGGCCCGTCGACGCAGTCGCCGAAGACGATGAATTTGTTGCCAAGCGGAGGTGCCCCGCTCTCCTCTTCCCACCGGTGCTCCCTCAAAGTCATTCGCCCCGCCCCTCATCTCTTCTCCTCCTTTCCAAACCCTGCCCACACACCCAAGATCTGCCCCAAGCCAATCACTCTTGCCAGCGCCGAACCCGGAGTTTCTCGCCCCACCGCGGCCACCGTTCCACCCAGTTCAATTCCTATTAACAAAGCTGATGAGGATTTAATATCTCTTGTCACTCCAGATGAAGTTCATCTTGAAGGTGTTATCCAGTTCCAGAAACCCGACTCTTCTGCTTCCTTTTCCAAATGGGGGTAAGGCATTCTTCTTTCCCAGGTTATCCAATTTTTGTTACAGCTATTGAATTTGTGATTTTTTTTTTCTGCCGTAAATTGCGAATTTTAGTAGAGTGGCATTGCTAGCTGGTGGGGATGTATTGTCTTTGTTGTTGTTCTCTGCAATTGGAAGATTCAGTCATGGGTTTGCGGTTATTGACTCTGAAACATTGCGAACAGCTGATCCTTTTATTGCCGGTATGGAATGCTCATATTCCTCTGGCTTAGTTTGATAAACAGTACTTGGAGAACTGTAAGAAAACATGAGGGATAGTATAAATAAAACCTGAACTGAAGAAAAATAGGAGCAAAATATAATATGTACACGCAGTAAATCAATTACTCATATTATTATGTTTTGTTCAAACTAAATGTATATATTTATTTCTATAACCAAAAGACTAAGAAATACAAATGTATGAAATAAAACGTGAAGAATTACAATCACATTTGATTTTGACCTAAGAAAATATTTTTTCACTAAACTTTTCCGGCAGAGTAGGAATAAGATTTAGGTTTTCATTTCAATTAGTGGATATGAAATGGACACTTGGAATTCTCTAAGTTGAATTTATTTCTTGATCAATAGGTTGGTTTTTGAGTGCATACTTTCTTGGGGGGTATGGAGAGGATGCTCGAGGAATCAATGGCTTGTTCAAATCATTTATTGCTGTCACAAAGTCTTGGGCTTTAGGTATCCCGGTGGGTTTTATCATACATTCAATATTCAAATAATACGGAGTATGTTATTCCTAACAAAGCTCTTTGTGCTTGAGTAATGCTACTAGATATAATAGACGCTTTAATAAGTGGTAATGTGTTACTTATAAATTTGAAGATTTTAATGCACCAATTTAATGCTGATTCTGGCAACCTCGTTTATCTTTCTTTTTATGGAATACATGTATAGTGATAATCTAAAGTTCCTAAATTGTAAAAACCACCTATCGTCTAAGCCATGTTTATATCAATTGGCATTTATGTTTTGTAAAGGATTCTTTGATGTGTGAAATTGTGGAGTTGGTAATTTGGAGAATCAACAACTCTAATGTGTGATGTAAGAATTTGGTGGAGAATAAAACCAGAATTAGAATTTCTGCTATGGAGTTTAGCCATTTGATTTGCTATTGAAAGAATAGGAATCCAGGACCATCCCATAGGGAACTAGGGACGTATGCCTAACTAGTAAAGCTTTGATTTTTATCATTTGTTGTCATCATTTCAACGGCCCAATATTCCCTACACTTTTATTTGCATAAAATTCTTTACATGTTACCTTTAAATTAAATTTGTAAACTAAACTCCAAGCGAAATAGCGGAGAACATAAAAAATTCTATCTCTCTCTCCCTCTTCGGTCTAAATCTTCTTTTTTTGGTTCAAAATGGTGCATATCAATTTGGATTTTGCCTAGTCACCAAATAGACTTCCCTAAACGGATGCCAATTAAAATATGAACTAAAAACTTAGAAACGCTTTGGAAAACTAACTCAGCATTTACTAATCGAAGAAACAATTTAATTTTCTATAATAATCGAAACATTAGGGAATTTAAAACAAAAGACATTTTTATTCTACACATTTTCACATATGGAAAATAAGAAAATTTATCATGTTGTATGGAAATCCCTATCTTCTTGCATTTAGAAGTTGGGGTAAATTCCATCAGCGGTTTGAGGGTTATTTCACTTTGGTACCTAAACTTCAGTTCCTCTCTCAAAAATGCATGAACTTTGGAGAACTTTTCATGGAAGGAACTTTAGCCGGTTCCTAGGTAAATAATAGGTCATTTTGCTTAATGGAAGCTGAGTTGGCAAGCTCGATCCCTGCAGCTTAATTAATGGAAATGAAGCTTAGGTCACACTATCAATCTCTTAAGATTCTTCTTGGTGTGCTTTATGCCATTCAAAGTCTTACTCTACATCTTTCTCAAAGTAATCATCTCTCTCACAATCATCTTTTTGAAAATCTCTCATCATTGCCCAACATCTAGTCTCATATAACGGTATCGATGTTAGAGTAGTCTTATAAAATTTTACTTCAATCTTAAGGGCACATTTTAATCACATTATATTCATGCTGCTCTATTAGATTATAGCCAACCTACATGAAACTTATGTGACACACGTTTGTGAAGCAATCACATATTTTTAAAATCCAGATTCAACTTACTTTTCCTTTTGCACTCAATTCTTTTGATACCGGGTTTGGATATCATAAAATGACATTGGCCATTTGGGTGGGTCTTTTAGGGTGGGTTGCCCAAGGGAGGGTGCGCTCTCACAATAATATTGAGCAAT